TATCATTTGTTGAAGCAACAAATCGTATAAATTGTTTATTTCCTGTTATACCATTACAACATCAACAATATCCAATAATGGAAAAACGTTTTCAAGATTATTTAAAATATTTAGATAGAAAAAGATTTCCAAGAAATTTTAATGTTCATAGTATTATAAGTGATGGTAGTATAAGTAGTGGAAATGAAAATCCACAATCATTACGTGAATGTTCATCGAATTCACCTGAAGTAACAACAACAACAATAACAACAAATAGTACACCAGTTACATCATGGACAACGATTCCAATGTCTATTATTAATGATAAAACTAATTCATCTCATCATATAGTTGCTGCACGTTCAGCATGGGACAGTTAAAAAAGAAAAAACAAATGAAAAACATCTCTCTTGTAATAAAACATTTATTTTTTAATTAAAAAAAAAAAAAAAAATTTTAAAATTATTATTTATTGTTTTTTTTCTATCTATTACAAATATTCAGATTAATTACGTTATTTACATAGAATTTATCATATCTGAAATTATTTTACTGTGTAAAATTCTAATTAAACAGTCATAAATCTTAGTATCTCATTTTCTTGACATGTAGCATATGTTAATATAAAATTTAAATAAAAAGAAACATGAATTATTACACCTTTTGAACCGAAAGAATACATGATTTATAATTTTGAACGTTTTATATATTCCTATAAATATGCTGAAAAACTAATTCATTTGATGTTGTTTCAAATAGGAGATCAAAGTTAGAAGAATCTCAATAATTTGAAATGTTTTCTATTGCAAGATTCATATTAATACTTTTAATTTTCATATATAATCAATCTTTTATATAGATTCTTAGTGTTTGACATTAGCTTTATATTGAATTGAAGTAAAAATGAAAAAATAATGAGCGTTTAAAATAATCATCAATCCACGTTGCTCAATATGTTCATTGTTAAATATAATTCATATTTTCTTATTTATAATTAATTCGAATATCTATCGTCTAAAGCATGACTAGTAAATTTTGAATTTATAAGATATTTTTATATATTCTTCTAAAAATAAATTAACAAGATAGAATAATAAAGCTTGTTTTTTTGTTTTCATTATAAGAGTTTTCTGCTAATCATGACTATCATTTAAAATAAATGACTAGAATAGAACATGATAAATTTGATACCATGTATTTATTAACTATTAATTAAGGTTAGTAGCAAATTTGATATTACTGAAAGCTTTCAGTAATGAACGACATGAAGATTTAAGATTTGTGAGAATAAATAATAAACACATTCTTCGTTTTACATATTCAATTAAAATGTTTTGACTGCAAAACATATAGTATGTCCTATGAGACTTCTTTTTTTCTTCAGTTAAAAATTAACATATGAAACTTGTTAACAAAATGTGTTTATAGTACAAAGAATCATATTTCGATAGGGTTCAGTTAATTTATTGATCTTTAATAGGATCATTAATATTAATTTAGAAAAAAAAAGGCTTCATAAAATCTCTATGAGATAAATATATCAAATATAATGAAATAATTTTTATTGTAAATGAAAAAGTTTGAGCAAAATTTTTCTTTACTTCCTGAACTTCCTGCTAGTACTAATGTTGAACTATGTAATACAGCAATAGATCGTTTATGGGCATATATAGACTCTGTATTCACCATTCTGGATTGACAAATAAAGTCATTACAGAAAATTAATACAGTATCTGATCATAAAGTTAATTCTATATTGATTTGCTATGACACTATAGTATGATTCTAAATGAACATGGAGAGAAGATAATATCATTTGATTTTTCTTGATCTTTTTCATTCACCAAGTTTTATTTTATTTTAAATTTAATATCTGAATAAATATTTCAACAAGATATAAAACGTCATCAGTGACTATTTTTTTGTTCAATAATGATTAATATTAATTAAATCAGATAAGAGGATTTACTCATGGTAAACTAGGAAAGTAACGATGACGATGCACTATACTTTCGGCATTCCACTTCATCAGTACACTAGTTTTACCAACAGCTTTGCACGAGTCTAAACATGTATGTATGTATAGACTAACTGTGAAAATGGCTGAGTTCTATAGAAACTAACTAATGGTATTCGGGCTCGAGAAATCTGTATCTATGGGAGATTTATCAAGATTTTCGAGTTTAATTTTCTCGTTCGAAAAACTCTTAGTTCTCACAGTTTAGTCGGATTCTATAAGATTCAACTATTTTCTTGAAATAGACGTCCTCTGACCGAAAAAAGTCGAAATATGAATCTAAGATCACCGTAGTTTTATTGTTTTTCATCGTTATTCTATGCGTACATGTCTATACCAGTGATTACCATCACCATCGCATCTCTATATTAAACATTTATCTTTGCTGGCATATTAAACAAATAGTAATCTAGAATTCGAACTTCGTCATTCAATTTTCTTCTCTATATGTATGTTGCTTTAAGTGATTATACAATGAATACTATTAGTATAAAGGATAGCTCATTCCGTGAAAACGTTATAAATCTAGAAATGTCGATCATATTTAAAAGCAAATTAACCGTTAATATTTTTTTTCATTAAAAAGCGAAATAATGGACCAGAGATCGTCACATGGCAGGATAAACTTTCAATTTTTAGTCCTGCTCTGATTGCTGTGCAATAGAAAAATTTACCCTGTGTCTATAAAAAAAGAGAGAAAAAACCTGATTCTATTCGAATTTATCTGATTGAAAATCGATTAACATCGTACTCTATTAATCAAATTATTTAATGTTCAATCCGTTTTAATCGAGTGAAATTGATTTTACAAAAAAACAAATAATTTTTAACTGATTAAACTTCATTTTTAGATTAACACTGATTGGAATTTCAATCAAATTTATTTATTTTTATTGCATATTTCAAGAAGTCTTCATCTCAAAAGATTTTCTCAATCAAAATACTCGAAGGACTTTATGCACATGAAAAAATAAGTTTAACTAAGAAAACTAAACGAAAAGTTACCTTCCAATCTGAAGATCAGATTTTATTCAACTCCATCGAAAAATATTCCACTTTAGTCTGCCACTTCCCGACGAATAGAAGATCATCCTATATTAGACGGCTACCCACAAGAAAATTTCACAAGATGTAATAGAAGGCAATGAATTTCCCAAAATCTTTTTTTTCGGAAATTCTGTGGATTTTTTCGACTTAGCACTTAAAAACTTGATTTTTGAGTAGAAAACCATTTTTTTATGATTAAAATTACTTTACTCCTATTAAGGGTCCCCCGTCACAAAAACCAATTTTTTCGAAAAAAGTCGAAGTTGAGATTTTATCATAGGAAGATGCACCGAAGTCTCCTCTTTCAGAATATATATGCCTTTTTTCCAAAAAGACCAGGTTTTAATAACCTTAATAAAGGAAATTGGGGACCTACTATCATGTTTTTCAAGACATTTTCGAAATTTTCGGAAGTCTTTCAAAAACTGAAAAACATTGCTTTTCTATTTTAATACATTGTATTAAAAAAACAAAATATACTACAAGATGCAGCGTGAAAAGCTCTACAATTTGTATGATACCACTTATTTTATAGTTGCACTTTTTGTTTTAAAAATCGGCAAAATTCTGAAAATATGCCATTTTCATATATTGTTTTTTGAACTTGAATAAAAAAATCCATTTCTAAATTTGTTTTTCGTTTTTCTCAAAATCAATTTTTTCGAATTTACCGTTTACGCGGGGAAGGATTTCTTAATAATGACTCAATACAGAAGGGATAATTTTTTTTTGTTGAATAGAGGACAGTTAGGGCTAGATCCTCACAGGCTTCGATTTTTGAATTTCTCTTTTGCTGAAATAAAAAACTCAGATATTTCATATTTATTAGCACTTTGAATTTGAACATTTTTCGAAAAAGTATTTTTAAAAATCAAACAAAGAGAAATTCAAAAATCGGAGCTTGTGAGGATCTAGCCCTAAGGTCACTCTACAATTTAAAAACCATCCCGACATGATTAGCTAGGAACCCCATTGTGAAAACCTTCCCCGCGTAAAGAGTAATGAATTGACTAGAACTTGTGCATATCTTTAAGATTTGAGGGAGATATTTTAACCATAAGCTATTCTAGTCAAGACTAACATTCTCTGAAATTTTGGTTGAAACCGGATGAGAAAATAACAAAGTTGGTTTCTGAGGAAGGGGGGCCCTTAAAGTGTTTTTCTTAGTAAAAAACCTGGTATTCTACAACACTTAGTTAGTAAAAATGGCTACCCATGTAAAGAAAAGGCTATAAATCAGATTAAAATCGATTAAAATGGTACTAATCTAATCAGATTTTCCAGCCTTAATGAAGTATTTTTGACTCTGTCTCTTAACGATAATAGCTAGAACAAATCAGAAAAAAGATTTGAGTAGCTGAAACAATATCCTATCAGAAGAGGTACTTGTCAAATTCATATTTATAGATTTTGATGAAAGAATTCTGAAAAACCAAGACTCACAAAACCAGTTTTCTGGATTCTATCAGAAGCGTTTTGTCAATAAGTTCATCTCACAGAAAAAAACATTTCCGAACAAAATCAGATCTCTGCACGATAAGTCTTCAGCGAACTACACTTATTCTATGACAGGCTTCAACGTGTAAAACAATAGAAACCAGCCTATTAAGCTTAGCACACAAGATAGTTTTACGAAAATATTTGTTCTATGAAATAAGTCAAGACTTCTAGGCAACCATTTATCAGAAACAAGGAAACGGTTAATGTTTCCTGTTAACTTATTTTCTTTCCTCATTAAACCATTTCCACTTAATGCGTCAAAAAAAAAAAATATCAAGACATAAACTATTCTTCTTAATATCATTGATAATTTTTAATTAACAGAAATAAAATAATACAAAGACAAAAAAAAACATGTCTAAAAGAACAATATCATTTAATTAATTGATGATATCTTAATATGATTATTTATCAACAAAAGTAGAAAAAAAACATAAGTATCAGTTGTTATATTTTAAGTCCATGCTGCCGTTGTATAGGATGGAACAGCCGATTGATATGGAGGTGGATAATTTGCTACACTAGTCATATTCGGTGGATATTGATATGACCATGAAGAAGGATATGAATATGGTTGTGATGGTTGAAGAATCATTCCTCCTGCTGCTACATTCCTTGAACGATTTAAATGTTTGACAATGCATATAATAATTACAATAGTTGCAATAAGAAGAGCAAGACCGGTAATCGAACCGGCTACAATAGCAATAATAGTTCCGGTTGTTAATACTTTACTTATCGTATTGAAATTTGATGAAGACATTATGAATAGTAATACTAATTATTGAGCTCTAGTTATTTCTTCTGTCACAAAAAAAAGAGAACGTCACTAACATACCTACAACGACATTAAAAGAACAATAAAAAGTATTTTCTACTAGACGATATGAATATGCGTCTAACTTTTTCTTCTTCTTCTTCTTCTTCTTCTCATTCACGTGTTCATTTTCTCAGTTCTTTAAGATGTAGTGTTATTTCAAAAATAAACTTACTAAATTGGAAAAAAATATAGAATATGACAGAAATGAAATTTTCTTTATTAACTTAAAAACTTCCTTTTCCATTTAGTAAAACAAAAGGAAAACCTTGACAAGTTGATGTCTTAAAAAAAAAATTATTTCTATAAATATACAAAACGATAGAGAATAGAAGATAGATTCAAAACAGTCTAGAATTTATGTTGAATGTTTTGTATTCTTAGATGACGGTAACATAGAAAACAAGTCTTGTTTTTCCTTTGAAATATGACTGTTAAGAGAATAAAAAGAATTGGCTGTTCATGTCGTAAAATTTTGAATAGAACACAACACATTAATCACATTCATTAATAAACATGACAGTAAAATATTGATAAGCATTTTCTTTGCCTGATTATTAACAAGCTATTTATTACACAAGTCATTGCATATGTTAACGGCATGATTTCGTAAAATTAATATGTCACTATCTGTGAACATAAATGTTTTCCTAGGGCTAATATTTATATGTCATATGCATTACAGAAATAACTCTTGGTACTTCAATAAGAACTGTTGGTGAGACCTTTGTTCAGAGGAGTTCTCACTGCATACATTTCAATTCAAAAAACAAAAAAGAACTGTGAATTGAGGTAGCAATTTTGAAAACTAAATTATATAATGGATGATTGGAAAGTTTTTTAGACAAGATGTTTGTTCATTTTATATCCAATAGAAAATATTTCCGACAAGTCAAAAATTTTGAGTGTTAGAACTAGAATTTCATACGTTTAGAAATTTTCTTTCAATTTTTGTTCGAGAGTAGTGAAATAATAATTGAAAGATCTGAAAAATTATTTTTAATAGTGATCCAATAGATTTTTGCTTATCCTATAAATCTTTTTTTCGAACGTGTTAAAAATAGCCGGGACTCAGTCGTTTTGTAGAATGAATACTTCTCTACAAAATATGATATTGAACTAAGTTGTACTTTTTACTCAAGCATTTTTCAACATAAAAGACTCGTTGCAAAATATAAGAAGATTTCTGGAGTATCAACTTTTGGCAGATAATTTTTCTAGAGTCCAATCTTGCCGAAAATTTTTATCATACATGTATAACTCATTTCAGATTTAAATGGCCGTGGACATTTTTGCATAGCGTGAATATAAAAATAGATAAATAACTGGAGTTTTAGCACTATCTAGAGTTGACATGATCTCTACCTTTGTACAAAGTCAATGGAAAATTTTACTCATTTTTCTTCTGTTTTGAAGATGATCTTAATCCATTTTGAAAACAAAATACTTTCAAAATTATAATATAGTGGACAAATAGCCTAATTTCTTCTCTATCGATCCACACAAAGTTGAGATCGATAGTGATTTGCATTCCAAAAACATAAAGATTTTAGTGAGGATCATTCACCAAATCTTTTTTCAAAATCTAAGTAGCTAACAAATATTTCTTTCTGTAAGTTTGCAGCCACCTTCGACTTTGTGATATAATTATTAGCTTTCGGAGTTTGTTTTTCCCTAATAAAAACGTCATCGAAAACTATAGATTCGATATTAGGATTGGTGTGGGTCTTTTCTTCAGCCACTATCACACTCACATCCATTTACCGATGAGACACTATACGTTGACTCCTATAGTGTTACGTGAATCGATATAAATACAAATACGGGATAGAAACACGAATTTTACTTTCACTGAATTAACCAAATTGGCATTAGAATGAATTTATAGTTTATATACGGCAAAAACATCTAGTTACATTAGTCACGTCCAACAATGTGAGACAACATTTAAAAAAGCTGATAGTTATGTCGAAGAGATGGAAGAAGAACTAAATGATTATAACGACGATGATTATAGTACTTATTGTACAGATGATGCTGATGATTAATAACTTTTATAGTGAATTTATGTAAACATTTTAAAATTCATTTCAGTTGATCGATTTCGATTCAAAAAATTATTCTAATGAAAGCATAAATTAAATAAAGATTTAAGAAAACTTTTTGAAAGTATTGATGCATTATAATCAAAATAAATCCTATTTATAGTTTTTAACGACGTTTTTATTAGAAAAAAAAACAAAAACTGCGAAAGTTAATAAATCATGTTACAAGTCGAAGACGACTACAAACTTACAGTAAGAAATATTTATTAGTTACTCAGATTTTGAAAAAATTTGGTGAATAATCTTCACCAAAAACTCTAGCTTGTGCAAAAAGTCGAATAATTTCTCTCTTTTTATATTAAAACTATTCAAAAAATGCCCTCGACCATTTAACTCTGAAATGGACATTAGTCTATTCGATAAGCTGATTTTATTCATTGCAACAGTAGAGACAGCTGATTATAAATAATGGATCAAATAAATCATTAAACGATCAATTGATAGTGTTCTTTAGAAAAATGTTAATACAGCTCTCATAGTGATGAATTTTACAATGTTTGTTTTTCAATTTTTTTTCTACTTCGATCAGTTGGATACATCGAAGCATAAATTCTCCGATTTATCGTAACAATAAAAGCCTAATTCGAGTAAAACGTTTAAATATCTTTTAGAAAAAGCATTTTGTGATAAATCATAAAAACAATTATTCTTTTCTTTCATGAGATATGGAGTTTTTTGATAATCGACATTCATCACTTCGCACAACATTTTGCAATCAAGTGAAGCTCGAAAACTTTCATTGTAAAGAACAGTTGTGTCTATGTGATGCCGAAAAACATCAAAAGTGAATAATAATAAGTCAAGCAAATATATTTGGTTTCAGAAAGAAACCTTTGACCAAATTTGCGTATGAATTTTCCTGATGCTTAGTGTTCAAAGAGTTTTTGTGACCTTTGAAAAAACATTTTCAATTAAAATCTTTTATATAGTTTTACGCTAGATATTTTACTCTTTCTAATCAAAAATGATATCAAAAAAAAAACAAAATGAATATAGACGGTTGCTACATGATTAAAACAATGAAATAACCATTTCGGAAGTATAGAAATATTTCTTTTTTACTGATTCTGTAAATAATAATATAAAACCTATGTTTAATTGTTTGTATTTTCTTTGATATTCTAAAGTTTAATCAATACCTAACAAACCCAGTAATCATTATCGTCGTATCGCTTAATCTTTGTATCAATTCAAAAAATAATTTTCATTTAAAATTTAGTCATAAAGAAATTATGTAAGTCTGAATCATATAGACAAAAACTACTGAAATTTAATTGATAATATATAATTGTAACAGATGTTTAATAGTAAAAAAAAAATTTTTTTTGTAATTAATTTTACGATTTGATAGTAGAATAGTTGCATGATTAACTTCATATTGCTGAATGATATAAATAGAATCAAATTAAGATGAATTAAGATCGGATTCAAAACATAAAGTATTTATGACAAGTGTCGTTTCACGACTGTGTGCAGCTAACATTAAGATGAGACGTCGAATAGGAAATTGTTTAAAAAGTATTTAGTCAAAAGAAGAAAAAAAAACCAACGATAGTTAAGATTATTGGACAAAATAAATGACATAACATTAATTTCTTTATTATGATTATCTTCGTAAATCAAAGGCGAACTTCTTCTCTAAATTACTCATAGTAAAAATTAACGATTTTTTAGAAGAATTTCAACAGAACATTTATTTATCAGAATCAAAATTAGACTAAATCAATTAACTATAAACAAGTTTGTATTCTGTGATTCTTTCTTAATAAGTATATAATTATTTCTTGAGTAACATGTCATTATTATAATCTATGGATTGATGGTTTTTTTTTTTGTATGAAGAAAATTTATGATTATTTAAAATCTATTTCTAATATCATGCTTTTCACATATGACTAGCAAAGTGGAAGATTATAATTATTTGTGACAAGAAGTTCTTTTATTCTTTCCTTATGAAATAAAAATACATGACTCAAATCAATCATTAGAGATCCTCGTAAGTAGTTGTTATAATACATTCAGTAAGATTTATGTATTCTTATTGTAAAGATGTCACAATGTTACTGTATTTATTGATTCTGTATTTACTGAAAAATACGGCTCTGTTAATAAGTTGTATTTCATTGTGAATGTTCGTATTTTTCAATTAAAGGAATAAAAAACAAAATCAAAGTTCTAAATTTTTGTTCATATACATTTTCTATTAAATGAATCTTCTTTAAATTAAAATCGAATGAATCAAAATAAAGAATATCAATTAATAAACTTCATACAATAAAGATTTTATATGTTTAATCACAAAAGTAATTCATTGATGTGAAAGATGAATAATAAGAATAATACACAAAAATCTTATTATTATTCCTAATCGGAAATAATTATTTAAATAATATCAACATTTTTTCTTCTTTTTTTTATATTCTGGAATAGAAATAGGACAATTTTGTCTATTTAAAGTTGGAACTGATTTACTAAACATAAAATTAACATGTTGTTTTCCTATTCGCATTTTTATCTAACCCTCCATCCGTGATAAGACCTAAAGGGACATAGCGCATACTGATTACAAGTAATTTATGAAAACAAAGCACAAACAAAAAAGACCAATGAGTAAAAATCGCAAGAGTTCTCAGTGATGATTTACAAAATCAAACCATCAGGATATGAGAGCAGAAAAATACATAGACCATCGCTAAAAAAAGAAACAAACTTGGAATATGTAGAATAGAACAAGATTATACAAAAAATATAATGTTATTAAATTGAAAATTTATTTTTGATAAAATAGGTATACTATCAGTTAAATTATTTACATTAAATTTTTATTTTTGTTCTGAATAAGATCATGTTGAATTCTATTATTCAATGTTATATTATTATGTTTAATTTTTCTACATCTACAATTTAATCGACAAAAACATATTGTTTTAAGAAAAACAATAAGTTCTTGTCGAAAAGTACTTCCAGTTGCACAAAATAAAATAAAATTAACTGAATGACATAAATAAAATAATAAACGTAATAATGTCCATTGTAAACGAAATGTTGGTTTTAATTCATAACTTGCTGGTGCTATAGCAAGAAATATTGATGCTGGTGATGTTAAAACAGTATAAAGTATACAAACAGCATATAACATTCTTGTTACTGAACGTTTCTTTTTTGTTTTTGAACGTGATCGTTTTGATGATTGTCGTACTGTACGTATAAGTAAAACATTACCAATAATAATTATTCCTAATGGTATTATTGTATATAAAACAAGTGTTAATTTAGGATAAATTTGACTTCGAAATTTATAATATATTTTATGATAATTACTATCAACAGTACATTGAAGTAATATATAATCATGTCTTGTTAATGTTGTTGAATAAGTTAAATCATAAAATAAAAAGAAATGAAATTCAGCTAAACAAACAAATAAAATACAACAAAATAATTGTATTAATGTTTGTTTTAATGAACATAATGCTAATTGACTAACATATAAATAACGTTGTAATGTAACAAGTACAAGTATTATTGGTACTAAACGAAGAAATAAATATGTTAAATAAATATGTATACGACATGTAAATGAATTTATTTTTCTTATATCAAGATCAAATGCATCAAGTAAAAATTGTCTTAATAAACCTGTATAACATGTACCCATTTCAGCAAAACATAAAAGAGCTAAATAAATTGATGTTGTTTCTTTACGAAGACGTGGTCGTAATAGAACAAAAAATGAAACGATATTTCCAATAGCACAACCAAATAATATTATTGGTGTTATTATACTTGAAACCCAACGAGTTAAATTTACATGTGAATATGGTAATGAATTATTCATATTTATCTGAAATTTATTTTATCAATAAGAGAAACAGATTTTAGTCATAATTGTGTAAATACAAGAAAATATAATATATATGGGGTTGCCCAGTCAGGTCGGATACCCCATTGATATTTTTTTCTATTGTAAGGATAAAACATTCTATTGTTAGGGTCATATGAGAGAGGGTCATAGATAACCCTAGATTGGTCCGAACAATACCGTGTTGTATCCTTACAATAGTAGAGAAAAGTTACGAGCTCATAGATCCACTGGTAGTAGCATTTCTCTACTATTCTAAGGATAAAACATAGTATTGTTCTGGCCAATCTAGAGTTATCTATGACCCTCTCTCATATGACCCGAACAATAGAATGTTTTGTCCTTACAATAGAAAAAAATATCAATGGGGTATCCAACCTGACTGGGCAACCCCATATATAAACAATAATACTAAAAAAAGATTTTTTCAATTAATTTATGAATTGTTATGACATAGAATAAGAATATTTGTATTATTGAATAAATTACAGTATTTGTAAACAAATGACAAATGATAGATAGTTTCATATTTCTCAATATAAAATCATATGAAATAGAAATGTCAGTTCGTAAATTAAGAATGAAGTCTAGTAGAAATTTAGAATAATCTAGTTAGAATCACAAATTATAGTTTAATTAAAAACCAAATCAGAATACAGAACAATGTTCAAGATAGAAAGAAATTTATTTCATATTTACAAAAAAAAAGAACAATAATTTTCAATAAAAATAATATTGTGATGCATTGTCTATGAGTGCTACATTAAAAATCAATCCGACTTATTTTTCTCTATATTTGACATAAAAAGGAAATGAGAATAGAAAATACTCGTAGTAATTAAAATAGATATACGAAGATATTAAAAAAAAATAGCGTGACTCATAGACCATCATTATCTTTATTGAGACTATATTTTCACCCTTTAGTGAGTTCTTAAACGTACTTTCCAAGGACATGAATTGCCTGCTAATTTCCTGTAATGAAACGTTTTGTTGCTTTTCTCATTTCTCATATTGCATGTTCTTTTGCAATAACACAACTCAACAATGAGAAACCTATGGCAATTTTATTTATGCAAGACAGAAAGACATAAACGTTCAAGAACTAGATTGATTATTTAAATATATGTTTTTCGATTAATGGAATAACAGAAAAAGGAAGTTAGATCTTTTCAATCTGAAGTGTTCATTATAAATAAAAGTTTTTTTGTTTTTTTTACTTTGAACATTATCTGTCAATAAATAATTATTAAGAACAATTCTTTGACGAATATTGACTAAATTATATTTAGAAAAATTCTATATATTATTAAATATAAAGAAAACATAACCATATAGATATTCTATCTATATTTGTTTCATGATATCTAATTAATTTATTAATTATTTATTTAGAAGAGATGTCTTTTGATCTTCATAATGATGAAAATGATTTTCTACTATTTTTATCTCAATTGAAATGATGCATGTCTGATAGAATTATCATGAGAATTGCAACAATAACTATATTTCTATCATAAAACTAGTGATTGTCAATAAAAACAAATCCTAATTTTATTTGCTATATCATATTAAAAAAAAAAAAGAACAAGATCATCTTAATCAAATTTATATTGAATAGAAAAATAATAAAAATTCTATAAAACAAACCTATATATTTACTCTTTTTAATCGATAATATTCTTAAAAGTGACACAAGAAAATAAAAGACAAAACTACGAAGGAAACTTGTTCAATCATCAATTCAATAAATTTTAGGCATAGAATCAATAGAAATCTAGTTTTTTTTTCTCTTATATTTAAAAAAATAACAACAAATGAAACTGTTTTTAATTTTTCGTTTCCTAAGATTTAACTATCAATATCAGATTCTGAGATGTATATCCATTCGTATCAGTAATGTAGGAACTGTTAACTCACTTCAACTATTCTGAGGGCTTTCGCGTTTATTGATGTCGTGTAACATCCATACCTGGTACTGTGGGTGTAGGTGTGCGTTTCTCTGTGTGTTCGTCTTCTATGAAGGTTACACTTAGTGTAAACAAAAACAGCTGAATACTTGAAATAACTCTTCGAGTTTTACATGTATAGTTCAAATGAACATACTTTTCAAGAGGAAATCAAATAAAATCACTCAAACTGATTAATAAGGCTTGAAATGTTGAAAAAAACAATGCTTCAAACTATTAATCTACTGTAAACATCATTTAAAATAGATACCATGATTTTTAAAAATACAGAAAAACAATAATGTATTCATTTTTAAGAATTCAACTTACTATTATATCATGAATACTTTAAATTAAGTAGATAAAACATTTTCAATTTTATGTTGATAACTCACGGTTGTTGTAAGAATTGATCAAGATGCCGCGACGTATATAAAGAATAACTTGAAGTGTCTTTCACATTTCACAGAACTATCCCTTCAAAAAAAAAGACAATAAATAGTGATATTTCTAGTATCACTCATCTTGCCGAGAAATATTCAAGTATAGCAGCGACCTATCGAAGAAAAAAGAACTCAATGTTTGAGAGCAATCTAAAAAAAGCAGACGTTCATTCGTGCTAGTATCATAGCATTATAATTATCTCTAATCATATACACATACGTATCAAAATTATAATCGTAGCTCTAACATATCATTAGTTCTAATATAAATAGAAATGTTTACCGTAGGTGTTTTAGAAAAAAATTTCTTCATTGGAAGATCAGTTGAATCTAATTGTAAGAGGAAAAATTTGATCGTCTATTCGATTAGACACGAAATTAACTTAAGATAAATTGATTTTTGCATAAATATATCTATAACTGTTCATGTTATATTAATATATATATATATTGAATTTATTTTCTAATATAAATCTAATTATCTAATTTTAAAAACAAAAATCATTTTCTATTTTTACTGTCTAGATTGATTAATTAATTGAAATTTTTTTTAAAATAAATAATCTTAACAAAAATATTGAAGTTTTGTGCTAGAAATACCATAATAATTTACGTACGAAGAATAAAGCATAATAAGACTTGTTTTTGCATTTCTTCTTTTCATCTTTTATTATGTGAGTTTGATTGGAGAAAAGAATAAGAGATTTTTTTTTATATAGTCTAAACATATTTCTTCTCTTAGTCTTATTAATTGACAAGGCATGAGATTGATTGTCTTGTTGTTACAGTACTTAAAATAAGAAAGAAGAGATGCACCATGTGTCATTGGAAACTTCACTATACTAATAATAGAAAGAAAAAAGAAAAAGATTTTCTCTTTATTTCTAATCTTGCTGTTTCGTATCTCTTTATTTTTGCGTGCTAATAGATTTTTCTCATGGTGTACTCTTTAACAAGGCTCAACTAGAATATTTTTTGTCTGCTTAACAATAAATAGTGTAGATGATGTGTATTGATGTTAATTCTAATTGAGAAATAGTCGTTCCATAATTTTTTCTTCTTCGTCTTCGATTTTATTTGATTCTATTCAATTAATAATGCAACACGCATAAGATTAATGGCATTGAGAGAATTTATATGGAAATTAGTTCTATAGTATTTTCTATTATGCTATGAAAATGAAAACAAAAAATTTTTCTATTCGAAATTTAAATCAAAATTCTTAATGAATTTATAGAATATGAAAGACAAAAACAAGATCTTCTTTTTTTTTGTAATGTTATTTCATAGTAAGAAAATTTGAATTCTCAAAGATTGATGATTATTTTTTTTCAATTTATATCCGGATATTAATCGATTTGTTTCTATGTCTTATTCACATATGAATGAACATATTAGAAATTAATGTTATAATCTTTCTTTGACTAATCTATTTATAGTATTGACGTCAGTCTTTTTAGGAAATTAATGTTATTGAGTCACAATTATTAACAGGTAGTACGGTTATTTGTATAAATTTTATGGTTTCTACTAATGATTTTTATGAACAAACATTTTGAAATATGTTAACCACTTATTATTATATAAATAATCGTAAAGAGAAAATCTGAATAACATTATGTATGAGAAAATATAATAATCTTAATTTATCGGTATTTCTTTTTTATGGAGATATAAATTCAAATAAATAAAGTATTTAGTGATTTATTTCTATAGAAAAAAAAACAGATAAGCTTTTTTTTTCTAAAGTCATGAACTTCTAAATAATGCATAGGATGTTTTAAACTGCTTTTTTCCTACTTAAAGTGATCTTCAAGTTTAGTCTTAAACGCGATCATTGTTCTCATTGTATGGATCATATATTTCGATATTTTTATTTTTAATGTAGCATGCGATAAACAATCCTTAGAGCTTATTCACAGGAAATTCGATACAGGATTTATTGTTGTTGTTTTTTTTAATAGAAAAAAAAAGAAAGAATCTCAAGTTATTATTCATAATTTAACTCTTTTTCAATGTAAGAAAACTTTTTTTCTTTTTCTTGAGAATGATTAAAATAGTATGATCCCACACAGCAATTAGTAGACAAAACGAGATATTGAGACTTTCTCTTAATTCCTACCATTAAGGTCTATTTATATTTTCGTTACTCTGAAAATAGATTTTTGACATACATTTATTCATATTGCACTTTGAATAAGATTTTATGATTGGATAAGATCTATTAATACCATTGACATGTTATTGACACATTTAAGATGTGAGTAAAATTATATTATTATTTTTGTAAGTAATATTTAAAAATATATTTACTGATTAAACAAATAAAATGAAACAATAACATAAATCAGATGTTTTTATAAATTAATTACTATAATAAGAGATTATTCTTATATCTATTTATAGATAAATTAAGTAAATTAGTTTTTCTTACATCTTTAAAATTCGAAACAAAAAAATCATCGCAAACAACATCTACATCCTTTTGATTGATTAGATCTCTCTTTAAGAGAACATGTCAATCATGAGAATAATATACGTATGTATGCATGAAAGAATGCATATAGAGTATGAGAAATGATAG